GACTGACTTGAAAGAGATGGGGCAGCAGGTATACTGAGGCTTAAAAGATTCTGTGGGGAGGTCAGAGCTGAGGAAGTAGGGGTGCCTTTGACCTGAGGGGAAGTGACAGCAAGAGGCGTGGTGGTTGGTGTCTGAAAACAGGATATTCCAGATTGAACAGAGGCCACAGGAGCCACAAAATGGGAAGGAACAGCGCCGACCACACCCAGAGGGACGGGAGTACCTTTTGGACTAGGATCTACCTGAGAGGAGACTTCAACAGGAGAGGGCTTTGGTTCTGAGGGAGCAGTGGGAACTGACAGAGATTTCACTGACCCCAGGTTAGCTGCAGCAACTGGAGGTGAGCTGAGAGAGTGAGGAGGAAAAGCAGAGCTCTTCTGAACTGGGCGGGGAGCCAATGCCATCAGAGCCAAGGGAGCTGAGGGGGAATGGGCACCTTTCAGTGTTGGAGTCATCATGGGAGAGGCCAGAGCTAACGCAGCTGGGGAGATGGGAGGCCCTATTAGGTTTGGCAGGAAAACTGGGGTGTCGGGGGCAGCCCCCAAAGGCATGGCTGTCTCAGAGGAAGACTGGGGAAAAGGTCTTTCAAAAGAGGTCGCTGAGGCAATAGGAGCAGGAGAGAGGAATGGGGAAGGCTGGCTAGGGGTGGCTAGGGGGCACTGATGGGGTGGCAGCAGCGGGGAGGGCGAGGGGGCGAGGGTAGCTTCAGGCTGCCCCAAGGCAGCAGTGACACTCAAGGCCGAGGACACAGGGAGCACAGCTGGAGGGGAAAGCAAGAGAGGGAATGAGGAAGGGAAGGGAAGGAAAAAACAAAGGTGAGTGACGCAGCCCAACTTGGTGCCACATGCCTCAGGAAACATGGCTGTTCAATCTGAGAAGCCCCCCCCATCAGACAAAGGCGACAGCCACCCCCCCCAAGCACACCTCAGCCGGTCCAGCAAGGGCACACCCGTCCTGCCTCCGCCTCCCTCCTTTCCCAAGTTCCACCAAAACAAAGGACCGACTTCAGGGGGGAAACAGCCCCCCCTTCCACGACCCCCACCAGGCAACATAACTGCAGGACTGCACAGCCCTCCCGGCCCACTGAAACCTGAAACAAGGTAGCAGTGGTGGGAAGATGGGAAGCCAGAGCTGAGGGGGGGAGAGGGAGAAGTCTGTGCACGCTCGGCCTCCACGAGGTCAGGACCAGTCCGAGGGCGAGTTTTAGGACGGGCTCTCCCAATAACCCAGCTCTTCCCCAGGCACAAACTTCAGCACCGCATAAGGAGCATTAAATGCTAACACGGCCGCCCCCTGCGCTCAGGTCACTACCCCGAACCCCAACCCTAATGCCAGCCCGCCAGACAGCAACCTGCAGACTGCTGAGGCCTTCGGGCGTCAGGAGCCGGCTAGTCACAGGGGAGGGACGGACATGAGGCCGCCAGCCGCTGGCTGTGCTGGAGGGACGAGCGCTGGGCGCCCACCCGCCAGTCGGGCAGGGACGCCACTCTGGACACGGACAACACTCTGCACGGCTGTAAGGCAAGGCAGCGTGCCCGAGTGGCGGGAAAAGGCCACAGTCGCCGCCGAGAGCCGGCCGGGACCAGCTCCCACGCGCGACCCCCACGCGCCACCTGAGCCCGCCTTCGCTGCTGCTATGCTGCGATTCTTGAGGCTCCTACCTCAGAAGCGGCAGCGGCCCCACCAGTCATTTTCTGGAAAGCGGGTCAAGCCTCCGCATGGCAGGGAGCGAGGCTGTTGCAACGCGCCTAAGCTCGGCCTCCAGCCACGAAATCGAGCTGCCGAGAGGCCTGAGGCACTGACAGATGGGAGGCCGCGCGCCCCGGCTCGGCCTCCCCGCTTCTGCGGCAGCTGCACTAATCCCTCAGCGGCTAAAAGCAGGCGCGCGTCAGAAGCCGGGCTCGGGGCGACTCAGCCCGGCCGCGCTCCGGCCGCCGCGGCGACAGGTGGAGCAGCAGCGTCCCGCGGCTTCGGCGCCAGGCCGGCCCCCTCCCCGCCCCCCGGGCCGTGGCCACAGAACCCACCTGTCTCGGCCTGGGGCTGCGGCAGCTCCTGCTCGGTGGCAGGCACCGTCTCCGTGGCTTCGCCGGGCATTTCTGGAGGGAGAGAGAGGCCGAGTGGCCGCGAGGTTCTGCCGCACGCGCCGCGCGCTTGGGGATTCTGGGGGGCGCTTGTGAGAAAAGCGGGTGTCGCCCCCACCCCCGAACGGCCGAGTTCCGCGTCTCCCCAGCGCCTGCGGCCCGGACGAGCCCCGCCAAGGGCAGCGGCCGCCGGGGCCCGCGTCGCCACCCGCTTGTCACAATCACAGCGGTGGGAGGACTCCAAGGCTGTGACCCCGACACCTCCCCCGGCCCCTAGCGGAGCCGCCCCCAACAACAGACGCACCCCGCTTCCGTCCCCTCCGCCACAGCGGCTCCCCGACCCCTGGCGCGGGGCTCCGGGCCCGGCCCGCCGCCCTCCTGCTCCGTGGCCAGGACGCCAAGTGCAGAGCCCATTTTGTCCGGGAGCCCCGAGGCCGCCTCCTCAGGGCCGAGCAGAGGCCGACGGTCCCACAGGGCCCCCGGCTGTCCTTGGCGCTCAGTCCCCGGGCGTCTCAGCGCGTCAAATAGGCAGATGGGCGCGGATAGAGAGCGGTGGCGAAGACGACACTTACTGTGAGGGGAACGCGGAACCAAGATGGCGGCGGAGAGAGCGAACGAGAGCGTGACCCACGCCTGTGGCAGGGAGAAGCCTGGCGGGGGGCGGGGCCAGGGTTCGATTCCGGGTCAGGAGCGGCCGGAGTCACTTCCTCTGACGAGGGGCCGGTCGGGCAGTTCCTGCGGGGCGGGCCAGTCTAAATAAGGGTAGGAATGCGGGCCCCGCGCGCGGGCCTGGCCAGCGTGCTCGCAGCTATCCGCAGATAGCCCCCTCCCGGCTCGAGTCGAGGCCGTTTTAATACCCGAAGAGAAAATGTTGAGAGGGGCACCTTCTTTCGCCCTCCGGTGAGCAAAGTGGCCACAGCGATGTGATAGCGATTTCCCTTTCGCAAATGCGGGAGACAAGAGGGCGTGAAATAATAGGGAAGGCCCCGGTTGGTCACACCCGCGGAGGGAGCAGCGACTGCGCTGAGCCTGTTGCGTTTGGATGCATAATGTAGCCCAACTTTGAAAGGGTTTCATGGCGGAGAGTCGCTCCTGCAGCCTGAGGAACGCAGGCGACAGTCCCTGGGCCTGCCATCAGAGCACTTGGAGAGCCTTCACCTTGCTGTTTCACGCCAGGGCTCCAGGACACCATGTTGAGAACCCAGGCTTTACTCAGGATTCTTGACTATGGAAATCAGCGGTGTGCTAATGCGAGGTCGAGACCCCCCCACACTGAGCTCTACCAAAGGACTAAACCACTGCTACCCGGATCACCTACCTAACACTATTTGACCCAGCGGCTTTCAGGCAGTTGTGGCTGCTTTTAAGGGAAGCCGTGAACACTTCACATATTATGAAAGCTTCTAAAATTTTTGACCTGTACTATGGTGAAATGAGGATTAGGATGGTGAACTGGGAATAAAAAATAATGGTGTTTACCAGGAGTGAGAAATTCTGAAATTCTCTTCAGACAGGAGAGATGACATTGTAATTAAGAACATGGACCTGAAGCCTGGCCTTCAATAGAAAAGGTCAGGGCCTCTCCTCTCTGCGGGCACCGGGTAGTCTCCGTCCTATCAAGCTACCACCTGCCACTACAGCATGGTCTGTCCTTGGCTGCCTGTTCTGCTCCCCACTGTCTCTGGTGAATCCGCTCATCCCCTGCACCCTCTGGCCTACTACACTCCAGTTCTTGTACACACAAATAAGTAAAATAGATCTTAAAAAATAAAAGGCCAACATGGAGTGTTGTGAATTGTTTCACAGCTGTAAAACAATTAACCAAAAAAACAAAAAACAAGCAAAAAAAAAAAAAAACCCAGCAAAAGCCAATTATCCCCTTAGGTAAATAAACTACATTTATTTTGACCATTCCCATTTCTCATCAAGGCCAATAACTTCTCTCCTTAATGATTTGACAAAGTAAGATATTCCCCCCTTATAATCACACATGACTGGATTGTTTCTGTAATTCTTCTATGTGAATTGGCAAATCAAAGAATAGGGAAGTGAGTCCTCTTTGAGCAGGTTTTTGCTATTTTCAAGGACTATTTACTGTGTTAAATGAACATAGCATATTCAATGGTAAAGTGTTAAGACAATTGAGATGCTAGACATTTATGAAGTTACTGGAAGGTTACACCATCTCTTGTTGCTACCATTCCAATCTTTGCACCCTTAAGTTGGACTAATGAGTCTAAGCTATCTTGTGCTGACCCACTATTTTCCAGATCTGAAGAATGAACAATGTACAGTAAACAAGCTCAAACAACAAGGGATTTTATACAATAATCTTTAATATTTTTTCTTAAAAAATTAGAAAAGAAAGAAATGTAAGGCATTTCAGTGGGTTGACTGCTTTACACAGTGTCTGCAGTATAAGCCAAAAGATAAAAGACTTCAAGGCTATAAACAATGGTAAAGGAAATACAAAGGGAAAACTCTCACAAGTTATGAAAAGCACCAGCTTCTCATGTTTATAGAAGACAAAATGTAAACCAGAAAAGTTTTGTTTGGTTGTAAAAGCCAGCAAAAGAAAGATAAACCTTCAGAATCTGTCACACAAAATCAAATATGGAAGAAATGAACCTTAAAAATATCGAGATATATACAAGTCTAAGTGTCTTGACAAGACCTGTTGTCTCCACAACAGGTTTTTATGTTGGAGTTGGTTACTTTTTTCTAAGTTGCTTTTTTTTCTTTTTAAAGATTTATTTATTATTGCATACAAGATCTGTGGTATAGGCCAGAGATGTGTGTGGGGGAAGGTGGGAGTGGGGTGGGGCTGGAGTGAGAGGTTTCAGCAGAGACAGGGTGGGATGTTCCCCACCCTTTCAGGCAGATGGACTGAAACACACTGCTGAGGGAGCAGCTGGGAGACAGGATAGGTCTGCTGATCCTGGGGGTCACTCCCTGGCCAGAGACTGAACTCATGTTTTGGTGGCTACAGAGTTTCACCCCTGCCACCAAAGAGGCCCTTCTAAATTGCTTTTTAATGGCAGATTAATCCAGTTGTTCTGTGGGGGAAGAATTTAGGAGCTGAAATTGTAATAGCTGTAACTACTCCTCCCCACATTCTACTCCCCTTAGCAGTGCACTGGTAGATCTGCCTGCTCTGCTCCCCACTCTGTCTCATGTTGGATGCAGGAACTAGATGGAGGTTATTAATTTTTGGTGGCTTTAGACGCCCAGTTTAAATGAGTTTTAAAAACGGGTGGTGAGTGAGGCGTGGCCTGACCAATAAAAATATCAGTAAGAAAATTAGGAAGTGAATTACTGAACACACTCTAGATAAAACAACTCAAGTGACCAAGACTTAAAAGAGAAAGCTCTCATTCGCCTAGAATATTCACTCAGAAATAGGATGTATCCAGTGAGCTCATTTACTTCTATATATGGCAACTGGTAGAACTGAATCTTTGTACCAGAAGTCAGAAATATCTATAATATTAATTTTTACAATTTGTCTGAAATCACTTATTCCTCTCTTTAGTCCTCTTTCCAGAAAGCTTGGTCTCAGCAGTCTTTTCACCCTAATTATTTTTCAAGAAAAGGACATTTTACTTTGAATATTAAGACACATACATGTGTCTGCTATATGTATTAAATGGTCTTAAAGTACTTGATTCTTGAAGATGGAAGAGATCCACTTTGGTTTGAGGAGAGTTTTTGTCTTCAGAAGTCTTTTTGTAAATCTAAAATAGAACAGACTTTTATCAAACGACTGTAGAGGAAAGAAAACATTTGTTTTCACATTCTGATTTGCTTATTTCTCCCATTAAATTCACATCACAAATGTGAAATACTTTCAGCCCCTTGCACCACCAGGGAGGCCCCACTACTCTTAACTATCACACATATTATCCAAAAAAAAAAAAGAGGGGAGTTTCTCTTCTGTTGCATTACAAGTTTTTCAGATATCTAGTAATCTGATGAATATCCACTGCAGACTTTTTTCCTTGGCTCCACCCATATGCTCTGTGGGTCTCTCTTATTCAAAGAAGTCTTCCTTTGACATTGCTATCGTCTTAATTACCTCCACCAGTCCTGTATCCAACAGTATTTTATCAGTTCCTAATGCATTTGACACTTGATAATCTCCTTGAAACTTTCTGGCTTCTATGCGTTTCTTATCTTCATTTCTAAATCATCATCAAGTTTCTAGGATGGCTCCAGTGTCTGCGCCCACTGAAATCTTTAGTGTTCCTGTCCTAATGTAATAAGCCGGTTGGCCTCTTGGACTGTAAATCTGTGGCCAGATTTATCTTTATATAGGGCACCTCCTCAAAAACTGTTAATAGCTTTCCTGTCTCTACTGAACCCCAAACTTTTAGATTAAAACTAAAGGCCTATCTCCTGTGGCTTCAGCCTGCTGCTTCCACCACTTCCTGACACAGCTTTTCCAGACGAGCTGTGTTACTCAATGGCCGCCAAAGTGACCTGATGCTTTTCTGTTTCTATGTCTCTGCTCCTCCTGGTCCTTCAAGAATGAATAACCCGCTTCCTTTCCCACTCCTGTAGCCTCATCTCATCCAGTCTTTGCGTGTGGAAATGCCAAGCAAACCTCAAGGTGTGGTACTTTGGCACTGTGGCTCAGAGTTAGTATGGCAGCTCACTGAAAGGAGTTCAAACACTACCCTTCTTACAGAAATCTCTTCAGATTCTCTATCAGATTTCTTTCTTAGCATCTTGTACTTCCTCATTTTCTACCAGAGCAAGGAAGTATGGAATTCATCTTTGTTTCCCTCATCGAACCTGGCACATAGAGGTGTTCAAGGAATTTGTGTTGAAAGGAATTAAGAGACCTCAGTTTTCAAAACAATGAGGCTAGTAAGATAATTCAATAACATCGGGGGAAGGGCAAAGACTAGAGCTCTAAAAAAATTGCTCACTAGCTGGATGGTTTAAACTGTCCATATTAACACATAAACAGATGAAGGGACAGGTATACAGTCTTACCACTCTTCTTGAGAAGTTCTCCTTTTCGGGATTTATCCAGGTTTTCAAGAAACTGTTCAAAAACTTTTACATAAGGAGCTAGACTGGTCTTCTTATAATCTAAATTATGAAAATCATGTATTATAATTATCATTTTGGCAGCAAGAATAACATGAACGTATAACCGTAAGTTTCTTAGATGAATTCTCTAGAACAGTGCTGTCTAATAGAAATATTAGGTTCAATTATCTAAGCTTTCCAATATTAGGTTCAATTATCTAAGTTTCCCAATAACCTGAACCATGATAGTTGTAAAAGCATATTTTGATTTTGTTCTAAATTTTTATATATGTATTTTCTTACAATAACTAAACATATACCAAGGAAATAGTTTAGTTTGGGATTAACCTGGTAGTACCTTGAAACTTTAATTCAAGATTGTAAGATTCTTGGATCTAGGTCAGTATATTTATTTCATCACTGTGGAACACAGAACAGGCACCTAAATTAATTATTTAAATAAATGTTTACTAACTGCCTACTATTAAGTACTATGCCAAATTCTAAAAAAGTATAGCCATACTACTTTTTATCAAGAAGTTCTTAAATGAATTTGAAAAACAAGTCCTATATGTAGAAAACAATGTATAATTAAAGTACAGGTATATGAATAATTATGAGTCCAAAGAACTGATCAATCAATGTTGATTGAGGGAGGTATAAACTGGGTCTCAGAACAGATATAACTGAATAGAGTTAGAGAGTGGAGAACTTCCAGGATTTGGCAAGTAAAAGGAAAGACGCAAATGGCACTGATATGAAAAAGGGCAAGGAGTAAAATCATAGAAACCAGTTATAATAAACTTAAATAGCACTAGTCCAATCTCCTGCCACTTATTAAGCATCCCTGACTGATCGATGGATACTAGTGTATTTATGAATACTTGAAACAACGTGTTGTTCAGGGTATTTTTTTTTTAAGATTTATTTCATTTATTTATGCATACAAGAGCTGGGGTGTAGGCCAGAGGTGTAGGGGGAGAAGGGGCATGTGTATGAGAGGATTCCCTAGAGACAGAGTGGGAAGCTAAACAGGTGGCTAAATGAAACACACTGCTGAGGGGAGCAGCGGGGAGACAGGAGAGGTCTGCTGCGCCCAGAGGGGGTCCCTCCCTGGCCGGGGACTGACTCATGCTGCAGTGGCTGGTGATAGCTTCATAGTGCTGAGATCCAACCCCTTGTGCCACAGGGAGGCTTACAAAGTACTTTTCAACTCAAATTTGATTCAATGGTATCATTTATGCAATTCATGAACAAAGGACAGAAACATTACCATAACATCATCTATTACTGAGCTGGATTCAGGATAAACACTGGTCCACTGGAGGCTGAATCTGAGGAGTATTAATTCTTGCAGTGCAGAAGGTATCTATATAAATAGCCATGTTCAAGTAAGACTGACATATTAACCTACCTCTGATTCTATGTTTGACATCAGATTCAGCTTTGTCCTCTTTTTCCTCTTCATTAGCAGAAATGACACCCAATTCATGACAGATAGAGCTACAAGTAATAGAATAAGGGGATTTTAAAGTTGGTTTGCAATCATTATTACCTAATGTATGACTACCACAAGATTTTCTGTGAAAAAAATTGCGTTCCACTAAATTTGGGATATTTTATTTATTTTAAAGATTTATTTATGAATACAGAACTGGGGTACAGGCCAGAGGTACAGGGGTGGTGACAGGATTCACCAGTTAGAGTTGGGGGCAGAACAGGCAGACTGATGAAGTTCACTGCTGAGAGGAGTAGTGGGGAGACAGGAGAGATCTGCTGCACCCTGTGGGGCAGCTCCCTGGCTGGGGACTGATTTTAGGTGATGTTGCAGTGGCTCTTCTTAGTGGTAGCACTGAGACTTATCCCCTAGGCCACCAGGCAAGTCCAAATTTGGGCTATTTTACACTTTATCTTAGCCCCAAAAGGCTGAGAAGTGATACCAAATTTGGGATATTTTAAAACTCATAATCTTCAATTTTTCCATGCACATCAGCATATGAGACTGGGAAATCTTGCAGTAAAGAAAATCTGTTTAGGTAAGCATTTCCCAAGTTTATTAATCTTTCTCTTGCATACTAGCAGCTGAATCTTGTGTACTGTGGAACTGAGTTCTGGGGAACCCTACTAGAACAACATCGTATCATCTCAGGGTAGCTGCCTCTCTGGAATCTAATCCAACCTACCTCAAATTCAGAACAACAATTACAAACAAATATCTCGAATGATCTGGAACATACCTTATGGTGGGAACAGTGAATGGGTCAAACTGTTCCACTTTCTGTAAATCAATAGGCACAGAAATACGACCTGTAAGAATCAAAATTTACAAACTGATGATGTGGGATAGGAATCACAAAGACAATCTCCTATGAGTTATTTTTGGTTAAAATGTTAATTTAAGGATATGAAAAAGATAATCTGCTAAGAACAATGTTTAAAAATACAAATTAAAAGTGCTTTTATATTAACTTTCCCTCTTAAAATCTCTTAAAACAGGCCCTCCCTGGTGGCACAGCGGGTTAAAGCACAGCACTAAGAATCTAAAGCCGCTTCTGCATGAGTTCGATTCCCGCCTGCCCCGGAGGTGACCACAGGGCGCGGCAGACCTCTCCTGACCCGCCCGCTGCTCCCCTCAGCAGTGTACTTCGTCGATCTGCCTGTTCTGCTCCCCACTCTGTCTCTGGTGAAGCCTCTCGCCGCCCCTGAGCCTCTGGCCTGTCCCCCAGTTCTGTATGCACAATAAATCTTAAAAAAAAAAAAATCTCTTAAAACACCAGAGACAGGTGTGAAACTGTCTGCTGTTAACCCACTGTCCTTGCCTACTTTTATTTTCACTCCCTATTCCTAAAATGTTAGAACAAAAACTAATTTTCATTTTTCCATTTCCCTTACTTTCTTTACATAGTACCTGTTTTTGGGTGAACACTAAATGGGCTCTTCAGTAAGTGATTGATCCCTTTACTAACGTTGACATCCAGCCGTGGAAAACAGTATTGCAGCATTACCTCCAACTCAAGCCATGGTCCACACTTTTCATTTTTGCTGTTATTCTGAAAGCAGATGCATGGGGGTCAGTAGGAATTTTTGAGGTTTCATTAAAGGTGGTTCAAAATTAATCTTCGACAATCTTTGACTAAGGAAAAACCAGAATTTAATTAAGAACTGAATTAGTGCAGTTCTTGTTCAAGACTGCTAGCCCGTGTCTATGCAGGTGTTTTTTTCCTCACAATTTCCATGAACAACTTCCGTTTAAAAGCAGCAGCTCTCCAGCTCTCCGACCTCCTTTTCCTAACCTGTTCTTTTTAAAGGCCCTCCCTGGTGGTGCAATGGGTGGAATGTAGCACTGCAGGCTGGCCGCAGCCACGTCAGTGAGTTCAACCCTGCCCTGGAGGTGACCCACAGGGTGCAGCAAACCTCTCCTGACCCACCCACTGCTCCCCTCAGCAGTGTACTTTGTTGATCTGCCTGTTCTGCTCCCCACTGTCTGTGGTGAAGCCTCTTACCCCTCTGCACATCTAGCTTATACCCCAGTTCTGTATGCATAAATAAATACATCTTTAAAAAAAACCAACAAAACCTGTTCTTTTTAAAATGTGAGGGGGAAAAAAAGAATTGATTATATTTGTAATATAGATTTTAATGGAATATACCTGGCATTTGCTGGCTGTTTTCTTTAAATGCTCCCAACGTTGAAGTGAATTGTGATGCTTTTGAAAGCCACACAGAAGTTCTTCATGAATTGGTAAGAGGTCATTAAGGAACACATTTATTTAGGGCACATGAGCAACAATTTACTTTCAGTAATAACCACAAGGATATAGAAAGTGTATGAGAAAACGGTTATATTTTCTAAAATATTAAATACATATTCTTAAATAATTCCCCTCTAAGACAGAAAGAACACCCAATTGGCACTTTAAAAAAAATTATTTATGTTTACAAGAGCTGTGGTGTAGGCCAGCAATGTGGGTGGTGGGTGAGAGGATTCACTAGAGAGCAGAACAGGCTGACTGATAGGTACACTGCTGAGGGGAGCAGCTGGTGAGACATTAGAGGTCTGCCACACCATGTGGGTCACTCCCTGGACAGGGATCCAACTCATGCTGCAGTGGCTTCGGATAGCTTCATTGTGCTATGCTTCATTTAACCCGGTGCCCTCCAGGGAGGGCCCCAAAATGACACATTTTAAAGGAAAAGTTTCCTCTGGTCTATATATGTTTTGATTCTTTAAATAGCCATGAATTCTAGAAGGATCAGCCTGCCCTGGTGGCAGAGCAGGTTAAAGCACAGCATTACAAAGCTAAAACTACTTCAGGATGAGTTTGATTCCCGGCCAGGGACGTGACACCCATGGTGCGGCAGACCTCTTGTGACCCGTCCGCTGCTCCCCTCAGCAGTGTACCGTGTTCAATCAGCCTGCTCCCCACTCTGACTCTGGTGGGGAATGTTTTCACCATTCCTGCACCTCTGGCCCACACCCCAGTTCTGTATGCAGAAATAAATACATCTTGAAATGACCTTCTTACTGTATTAGAGAGGAAATACAAAAATTTAGAAGCACAGATGTTTTATGTAACAAAGATTGTATAAAAACACTATGATGTTATGCTCATGTTCTACCGACAGTCTCAGTACAAGCTGCTCACACAGAAATGGGCTTGGGAAAGGATATTTTCAGGAACAAGGGCTAAAATCTTATCCCAGCTTGCTTTATTTTCAAGAATATCTTGATCAATCAAGGCATATTTTTCGAAGTATTTTTTTATTATGTCTACGGATTTTCTGTAGAAATAACAATAACATAGTCCCAACACTGTCAGCAACACACATACCACAGCTTTTGCTGCCGCTCGAAGCCTCGCACTTCACTGAATTTTTAGGTTTTAGTTAGGTAAAGGCGAATAATAAAACTGTCAAAGTTAGGGTTAGGAGAGATACTTGAGACACTATTCTAGGTGGGACGAGAATTCTTAGAATACAAGAGATATTTACTTCTTAAGTGCCTAACTTCAAAAGATAACAGCGTCATGATAGGGCACAAGGGTGGAAAGCACAAAGCCAGCACAAGACAGCAGCGTGTCAATTCTAGAACGTGGGTCTTTCTCTGAACTGCTTCTTTCAACATCGAATCAACTCTATCGCTCAGCAATCTGGACACAGACTTGATAGCTGCTATTGTATTTAATCTCTGCACAACTCTGGAGATGGGCACATGTCCTTCTCATCACACAGAGATAGGAAGGGGACTCGGATATTTTATCAAGGCCACAGTAAGTGGCAAAATCCAGACATTCACTCCTAGCAGTGCTCAGTTCAATGGAAAGAGTGAGTTTTTATGAGTTGGGAGCCAGCAGACTGGGATAGCAGCTGAATCTTGTGTACTGTGGAACTGAGT